TTCACCCCCTTAAACGCTTCTCAACCCCCTCGTCAACTTCCCTACTGTTGTGTGTTTGTTCGACCACCTCTCTCTCTCTCTCTCTCTCTCTCTCTCTCTCTCTCTCTCTCTCTCTCTCTCTCTCTCTCTCTCTCTCCAAGAACAGTTAGATTTTCTCTGAGAATAATTTACAAGAATATTGAAAGTTTTTATTTATATTTATAAGAACATTTATGGCCTTTTAACTGCAAAATAAAAAGAATTAAATAACTAATATAATCATGGCCTGGCAAAACTTTAAACGAAATTTGAGCACCTTACCTCCCTCCCTCCCTCCCTCCTCACCTGAACACAGCTGGTGGGGTTCACAGCCTCATCAAACACACCTTACACAAACACCTCCTCCACCTCCACCCAACTTTTCCCTCATTTAATAAGATAATAATAAGTAAAAAATAAAAAAATAAAATAAAAACTTCATCACATTTCCATAAAGTTTAAATTAAGTCTTAACACACACACCGAAAACTGTCTCTTGTAAGTATTTTAGAGACACGGCAGAGTAAGCAAAACTTTCCCTCCACACCTCTCCTTCCCCTTCCCCCTTCTCTCCCTTTCCTCTCCCCTTCCGACCTTCCCATCTCATGTACTCTCCATCCTTCTTGCCTCTGCACCTCTCCCGCCCACCCCCACCCCCCTAGTACTTCCTACCCCACTTCCCACTTCCCACATACCTCCCCACCCCTCTCCCCGCCTTCCCTCTTCACTCCCCCCGGGGCTGGTGGGCACTTTTCGGGGTGTTTCCTGGGCAGGTAAAGTTATCAGACAAGATTATTGAGGTGTGAGTCATGCACCAACTTTAATGAATTAATATTGGATTCTCAGAGCAGACGGGCGGGAGGCAGGCGGCTTGTGCTTCTCCCAGGATAAAGGAGACTTGGCCCAGCTGCAGAAATACGACTAAAACTAACACAAATATATTTCCACGTTGACAAAACATTACAAAAACTTTACCAAGTATTAGGAAATTCAACAAAGCTCAGCGCATGATAAGTTTGTTTAGAGTAGGTCAGGACTTAATCTTTACACGATTGCTTGATGTTGTGTGCGAGTTTGGTGGGGGATCATCCTGGGAAAGAAGACGCTCGCCTGGAGGACGCTGAGGCAGGATCCGCCACGCTCAGCGGCTCCTGCCTCAACATTTCTTCGCTTCCTTCTTAGTGAAAAAGTTTACCACATGAATTGTGTGAAGACGTGGTGGTGTTTTTCTCACGGGTTTGCGTGTTTTTATTTCCTTTCTATTTCTATAAATAGTAATACATTTTCTCTTATTTATCTGATCCTTTTTTTGTGTTTTAACATATCTTACTGACAATTAAAACATATACTATGTTGTTATCTTTTTTTAAATCAGTTATGTACTTTAGTCTCACTACACACATTAAGGTACATATTCACCGTTATTGTTTACATTCATACAGTACTACATTTATTAGACTCTCCATGTGTTTCCTTATTAGATAATTATGACAACTAACGCTTTACCCTTTGACGCCGTGTGTGTAGGCAGTACACCAGAGGGGCCTCAGCAGCACACGTTTACGACCTTCTTCCGCCTCCAGGTGCCGCCCGAAGCTTCTGTTCTGTTTTCCTCGTTCTTTATCCCTATAACACCTTCTGTGCTCCCAAATGACCAGGAGAAAAAAGGTAACACGAATTACTTAAATACCTGAATTAATTATCATTGGACATGATACAGGCTGGAATATTGTACAAAATATGAGATATAAACAAAGACTTAGTTGATAGTTTAGTCAACAAGGCTGGTAAAGTGGTGGCCGTCGGTCACAACCACCAGTTGGATGTTTTGATCAAAACGATAATTATGGCTAGCGTTAGCTTTGACTTCCGGCAGTTGACGAAAATTATAATTATAATATTAAATTCGTCATGTGTGTATGAGTGTGTTGGACTACTCACTGGTGGCGTGTATGTTGGGTGTTACACAGACGGGGGACTCTAAAAATCATGAACCCCAAACACATCTCATCAGAAAGGAACTTAACTTTGTGGTAACAACCCAACACACACTGGCCCATACCACTCCTCTATGATATGACAACACAAGTGTCATCATACCATATTTGGTGACAGGGAGGGACACACACAAGGTGCCCTGTTATCACAGCCAAACGTCGCTCACCAACACAGGTGAGGCACGAGTCTCTCTCTGCCGTCCACTAGTCATAATCTTTTATAATTTGGTGATGATATTTATATACGGTGAAGGTCATGAGTCATTCATTGTTACTGAGACTTTAGTGTCCATTCATTCCTTCACTCTCACATACACTTAATACTTCAACACTTATATTTTCATGCCAAAAAATATTATTTTTTCTTTATATAAATCAATTTGGTCTGTGTAACCTTGCATGTAGGATTATATTATTGTTTGTGTATACTGTAGTTTTTATTAAGACTTCTATGCATAACGAGTAAAACTCACTTGGAAAGTGTACAGAAGTAACCACATCTCACAAAGACAGAAACTTCCAGGTTACTGCAGTAACTAGACGACAGAAGGCGAGTGTAAATCTTCACATTAACTCTAGGGCAGGGGACACCCCCCCCCTAACCCAAGTCTCCTGACCTCCAGTACTCGAACGTGTCCACCAACCAGCTCCATCGTTACAGGACTACTACCCATTCATTCATAAGTTTAGTAATGTGACCCTGCCACATGTACAGTTGGGATCAAAAGTTCGCCCCCGTCCAAAATGAAGCAGTATCGACTTCAAATGAGATGTAACAGTCAGGGTAAGTCAGTTCGGAAACTCGTTTCCGTGACTCATTTTCACCATGGGGAGCGAACATTTCTCTGTGACTGTAGGTAAACAGTAGGGGATAGTGTACAATGATCACACCACTACTTATTCATGTTGCTTGATGAACAGTACAGGAAATCTGGCAACTACGAAACGATATATCTTGACGTCATAGTTCACAGGAATGTTAAATATATACACGAACGTCAATAGACAGATATACAATGGAAAGAGAATTAAAGAAAGGGAGAGACAGGGAGAAGGAAAAATGAAATATTAAAAAGCGATAGAAAGAACAAGAGATGAGAAATGCATACAAGGTGAGAGAGAGAGAGAGAGAGAGAGAGAGAGAGAGAGAGAGAGAGAGGCAGGCTGTGAGTCAGCGAAAGAGGTACAGGAAGTCAAAGAGAAACATATATATATATAGAAAGTGAGATAGAAATAGAGACAGAAATAGACTGAAAAATAGAGAGAAAGAGAGCTATAGATTCAGATAAAGGCAAAATAAGAGACAAAGAAGAAATAAAAGAATGACAAATTTAGAGAGAGAGAGAGAGAGAGAGAGTTAAAGAGGAAAAAAGAGATTGAAAGATAGAGATAGTGCAAGAGGGGAGGGACTTATGACACAAGTGGCGTGTGAACCATTACCTTGATTAAGTGAGTCTGACGCCCCCAGGTGAAGCGACGGCAGGTGCTCTCTCTCTCTCTCTCTCTCTCTCTCTCTCTCTCTCTCTCTCTCTCTCACTTTGTCTATCTCTTCATCTGCCTGCCTCAACTAACACTTTGATACCACTAAAATACCCGTAACTTACCTAAAAGCTGTTCACGAGTTGTTCTACACACACTTATGATGGGCTCAAATATCTTTACAAATTATCTGTTGCTTAAAACTTTAAATGGGTCAGCACCTGATGAATGATCTTTAATGCCACGAATACAGTGATTTAACCCTTGAGTACAATGTCATCGTACTCAAGGGAATATGTCATCGTACTCAGTGAATTAAGACTTTGTGTTTTCAATATGTTTTCATTGTTTTTAGGGTGTCAAGTTCTTGTACTCAAAGCGTTAAGCTATTGTACTCAAGAGGTTAAGTCATTGTAACTCAACGGGTTAAATCTTTGTACTCAAGGGGATAAGCCATTATACGCATTATATAAAGGGGCTCAGGAATTGTACTCAAAGGATAAAATCAGTGTACTCAAGGGGTTAACATACCATAATCACTAATAGAATAAATAGTACTCAAAGCTATAGCCATCGTACTCAAAAGGTGGATAAAGTAATCTCATAATACCTCTATACATTATGCTGGGACTCACCTCAAATCGTCCCGCATTGTCCGTCGACGTTCCAACAAAATGATTCACAATTTACCCAAGTCACCCGTTATACGACCCTTAATGGATTCTAAGATGGTCTCGATCTTACGGCAGATTCCTTACATTTTCTATCGTCTCCGAGGTATATCCAGTATACTCGCGTTATGTTCAGGGCTTCAACATAACTCACAGAAAGAGAGTCAATTCGCACCGTTTTCAGATTTCCCTTCAGCTCGTCCAGATACAGATTGCAAATACCCTGGCGAGTTGTCTCTCAAGGTGCTCCCCACCCCGTTTCGCCCAAACACTCCCCGATCTCTGACATAGATGCTCTTAAAGCCAGTCATGTGATAAATTGTTGAGAGGGGGATGATCCGTGCCGTGCCTCCTTCCTCCTCCTCCTCCTCAGCCTCCTCTTCCACCTCTTCCACTTCCCCTTCCTCCTCCTCCTATCCTCAGTTAGTCTTCAGTGGCCCCTACCCCGACCTCCTGTCATGACCCTCATCATCATCATCATCATCATCATCATCACCGCCGCCACCAACATCACCATCACCATAACTAATTACATTATACAAATAGTAACTTTAGTGCCCCAGATAATGTAAACAGAAAAAGGTAAACAGGTGAATCGGTGAATGAATATATGAGTTACAATTATGAATATTTCAACATCAGGTACAAATTCACTCAACCACCAGTGTTATTCAGCGTTACTCACCCATGTTACTCATCTATATTACTATCCCTGTTATACTCATCGGTCATTCACCCATGTTACTCACTCATGTTGCTCATCCATAATCATATCCCTGTTATACTCATCGGTCACTCACTCATGTTACTCACTCTACGGTTGTCACTCACACAGACTCGGACGCGATGGAGTGCACGTCAGACCGTTTGGTGATCCGGGACAAGGAGGGACGATTGTTATTCTCTGCCACTCGTGATGAGGTCCTAGTGGGAGCCAGACATCTTACTGTCAAAGGTAGTGTATCTTTCTTCCGTCACTCATCAACTGTAACTCATCATGTCACTCTTGATCTGTCACTCTTGATATGTCACTCTCAATCTGTCACTCTTGATATGTCACTCTTGATGTCACTCCTAATTTGTCACTCTCAACCTGTCATTCAATCAGCTACTCTCAATCTGTTACTCAATCAGTTACTCCCAATCTGTTACTAATCACCTGTCACTCAATCTGTCACTCTTAATCTGTCACTCTCAACCTGTTATTCAATCAGCTACTCTCAATTTGTCACTCATCACCTGTCACTCTCAATCTGTCACTCATCATCACTCACTATCCATCACCTGTCACTCACAATCTGTCACTCATCATCACTCACTATCCATCACCTTCCATCAGTCACTCTTCACCTGAGTACTCCGACAGGTGAGGGTAGTCCAGTGTTCATCATTATCATCAACTGGGTGTTCAGACAGGTGAAGGTGAGCCGGTGTTCATCACAATCATCACCTGGGTGTTCAGACAGGTGAAGGTGAGGCGGTGTTCCTCATCATCATCATGAACTGGGTGTACCGGCAGGTGAGGGTGAGGCGGTGTTCATCATAATCATCAACTGGGTGTTCAGACAGGTGAGGGTGGTCCAGTGTTCATCATAATCATCAACTGGGTGTACCGGCAGGTGAGGGCGGGGCAGTGTTCAGCGGGTCGGTACAGACGGAGCACGTGGCGGCGCCCGTGGGAGAGAAGCTGCTGTTGGAGTCACTCACCCGCAGCCTGGAGATCACCGCGCCGCAAGGAGTGGCCCTCGAGTCCCGCGCCGGCACTATCTCCGCCCGATGTCTTCACGACTTTACCCTCCAGTCCACCGGGGGCGTGGTGAGTTACTGGGCTCTGTTTGTGAGTTACTGAGCTGTGTTGTGAGTTACTGAGCTATGTTGTGAGTTACTGGGCTGTGTTGTGAGTTAATGGCCTGTGCTGTGAGTTATATGGCTGCGTAGAGAGTTACCTGGGCTGTGTTGTGAGTTACTTGGGTTGTGTGGCGAGTGACTGGACTGTGTTACAAATTACTGGGTAGTGCTGTGAGTTACTTGAACTGTGTTGTGAGTTACTTGGACTGTATTGTGAGTTACTGGGCTGTGTAGTGAGTTACTGGGCTGTGTTGTGAGTTACCGGGGCTGTGTCATGAGTTACTGGAGCTGTGTGTTGAGTTACCGCGTAAGTTACCTGGGCTGAATGATGATTAATTGGCTGTAAAATAAGTTACCATACTTCTAATACTCTTTGTTAAGTTACCTGATTTTATAACTTGAGTGATTTGATTTTTAACTTAAGTTACTGGGCTAAATATTGAGTTACCGTATATGTATGTTGATTTTATCGATTATACAATGAGTTACTAGATATGTATATCGTAATTTAAAGTTGATATTGATTTTGTTAGGCAAGTAATGTTCTGAGTAGATGGTGGATGATGACAATGTTTACCCAGCGAGTTGTACTGAATTGTTTCCATGAACTAAAGACGATGTTACAGTAACTCACCAGCATGTAGTGTGAAGTGCCGGTGATACATACATACATACACACACAACGTACATTACATATATACATACATACATACATACACAACGTACATTACATACATACATACATACATACACGAAGCAGCAGGGTGATGTTTATGCTGGGAACACGTGTATAAGAGGCAGGGTGGTGTAGCGTGTGAGCTGGTCGTCAGATGCAGCCAAAGAGCTTCACTGACCCAACCAACACCTCCCCTCACCCCCCCCCCATACGTCAGCATTGTTATGATGATGCAACACCTTAACCTCCTCAAGTACACAACCTCCTTCACCTGACTCTCCTAGTACACCATCTCCTTCACCTGACGCTCTCCTAGTACACCACCTCCTTCACCTGACGCTCTCCTGGCAAACCACCTCCTTCACCTGACCTCCTCAAGATATACCCGTGTTCAATTACCACTCGCGTACGATGCAATAAGATCTGTATCTATTGAAACATTGTAACCCAGCGAACATGGTAAAGCTTCCTCTAGGTCGTCCAGCTGTCCTCCTCAACTAACACTGAGCCATTAAGATAAACACGGTCGATACACAAGACTAATGACATAATCCAGTAGACTCAGTGAATCATAAATTTATAAAGTACTATAGACTTACAGTACATCAATCGAGCGTGACGATAAACGAGAGAAAGAGAGGAAGGAAGAGAGAATAAAGAAAGGAATAAAAGGTCTAGGAAACTGGTGGTGAGGAAGAATGTAAAAAAAAAAAAAACAGATGTGTCGAAGATAAGATGATAACGAATCAGAATAAATGTTGGGAATTTTCGACACCCCAAAAAAAAAATTATGGAGGACAAATTATAGGAATTCTTTCACTTGTCTTTAATCGCCTTCACGTATATCAGTTGGCTTTTACAGAACCCTTTGTTGGCCTCTCTCCTTCAGTAGATAACATCGTCTCTTTGATGTTAATGTTGGTAATTATTAAGGCCAGTATCGTGGTGTATTGCATCATGGCGGCTGAGATATTATACACTTGTTTTATGATATGAAAATCGACCAAACCTAACCTAATCTAACCTAACCTAACCTAACCTATATTATCTAAACCTTACCTGACTTTATCTAGGACTGTAGCTCAGACAGACAGACAGACAGACAGACAGACAGACAGACAGACAGATAGATAGACAAATGTTGGATAAGGTGTCAAGTATAGTGTTGATGGATGGTGTTATATGTCGTGATGATGGATGGTATTGTGCGTAGTGGTGTTTAAAGGTATTATATGTAGTGAAGATGTATGTGTATTTTCAATGATAGGATAGGTTAGGTCAGGTCAGGTCAGGTCAGGTTAGGTCAGGTCAGGTTAGGTTAGGTTAGAGTACTGATGACGACACCAATCATCCTAACTACACTAACACCACCACCTTGTTACATCACAGCTCATACCCCACACACTACAAACACCCTACATGATTATTACATGTTGTACACACATACATACAATCCTCACCAAATTATAATACAGTCAGCAAGTTTACAGCATCACTCGATCATATGTGGAAGCTATGTTCGCTGCAGGTGTTTACTTCTCACATATATATCCAGTACAATACACTGAATCATCTCTTCCTCACACTGCTAGCTAACAGGAGCTCTGCCTAAGATATGGGGAATGTTTGAATAGTGTACAGTTTATTTCCCCCACCAAAAAGAAAATTCAGCGGCAGAACAAGCTTTAACATATTCTCTCTCTCTCTCTCTCTCTCTCTCTCTCTCTCTCTCTCTCTCTCATACACGTAAATACATTGTTGCCGGTAGCTTACACCGGCTATACTGTAACAAGTGTAAAGATTTTCAATAAGTTACGGTCTTTTCCCTCCACAAATACAGCCATTATGATATGTTACAGCGCCTCTCCCATGAGCCCTCCTCGGTAGGTTACAGCTGCTGTATCTAACACCTGAATGTTTACTCCTTAGCTGCTACAGGAAGTTACAGCATCTCTCTTACTGATAAGTTACACCAGTTGTCCAAAAAAAATACAAATTATTATCATGTATTAGAGCATTTTTCACTGTTAAATACAGCAACTATACATAGATACAGAATCTAGCTCATCCAGACGGGTTACAGCAGGTGTACCGTAAGGAAAGCAAATTTTTACAACACAGCCAGAGTCTTTCTCGCCACATATTGAGCGAGGGTGAGAGCGACTTGCCCCACACTCACCGACTAGAAGCGCCAAGTGGCAGGCTCAAGCCAGAACACGCCTGCATTTCCCACGTAGCTCAAAGGAAGACCTCCACGGAAAGAAAAATCCACATTTTAAAGGCATTCGTTTATGTGTCGCTGTAAAGCATTTTTATACTTGGAAGTTAAGTGTTTTTCTTTGGTATTTTACTTCGATTAATTAATTTTCTTACCGTGTTTGTCTATGTTTGTTTGCGTATGTGTTTGTGTGTTATGTGTGTGTGTGTTATGTGTGTGTGTGTGTGTGTGTGTGGGTGTGTGTGTGTGTGTGTGTTAACGTGTGTGTGTGTGTGTGTGTGTGTGTGTGTGTGTGTGTGTGTGTGTTAACGTGTGTGTGTGTGTGTTGGCGTGCGTGTGTGTGTTTCTGTCTGTCTTTGTCTATGTATGTGTTTGTGAGTGTCTGTCTGTGTATCTGGGTTTGTGTGCGTCTGTTTGTCTGTCGGTGTATGTTTGTAGTTGTCACAGTTAATATACTGTAGGTGTGGTCGTATTTATTACAGATCCTTGACAATGGGCGTGTTTCGACCTGTCCATGCTTACCTGAAATAACTATCTAGGTACTCTTCTAATGCTATTAATATTACCTAAGATATTTCACTATTATCATTATTATTATTACTGATGCATAACTTACTGTATACTGTAATATAAGACAACCAATTATTATTACCTTCTAAGGACTAGTTAGATATATTTCACTTATCGTAACATCTGACTGGGAGACGTGTTGACTCTGACAGCGAATACTGAAGGTAAAGGTTTTAGAGTGATGTGAGGTTAAGTGCATCTTGATCCAATCTCTTCTTGTTAAGGTGTTGTAGCGGGTGTTCAAAGTTTGCTTCATGGTGTGTGTGTGTGTGTGTGTGTGTTTGAAACACCTCAATATGATTTTTTTTAAGGGGATTAGCCCACCAGGGCACAGGTCACTTACCCACATCAGGGCCTGGGGTAATAATAATAATAATAATAATAATAATAATAATAATAATAATAATAATAATAATAATAATAATAATAATAATAATAATAATAATAATAATTCATAGCTAATAAAATTTATAATAAAAAAAAAAAATTTAAAATGAAATAAATTAATAATAATAATAATAATAATAATAATAATAATAATAATAATAATAATGATAATAATAATAATAACACTGCAATATAATAATGATAAATAAATACAAAAATGAAAAAAGATCAAAGGTGAGAAACAATATATGTATGTTGTGTTGTCAAAGAGAAACAATTGAGACCCTGCAATTGTGTGTAAATGAGGCAGAAAGTCAGATCAGCAACCTGGGACTTGGTCACAATTTTTGTGATGCCATATGGCAGCAGGGTCTACCATTAGACAACACAATATGCTTCCAATATCTTCCCAGGCGGTAGTACCTCCCTGGTTGGTAGCTGCATATTACCTACTACCTCACAGGCTGTCAAAATATGTAAGACACTGTAATTTAGGTCGATAGACACTATAAACGCTCTTATCACACACACACACACACACACACACCCCGATCCTAACCTAACCCATCATATCCTAACCCATGCCCCCTCAGTCAGCGTCAGAGTCGTTAATCTTCAGGAGAAATAAACTGGAATGGGCAAATAGTGAGGTGATCTAATCCGAGTCACAACATGCAATCAGAGAAATACAAACCGAATTTTCACTTGAACCGGACCTCGTGAAGGGGACATGCAAGAGGGGGAAGAAGGCAAGGGTCATATCCGAACCATCTCACATATCCAAACCACCTCAGATATCCGAATCACCTCACATACCCGAACCACCTCACACACTCGTCATGGTATACCACCCCGACCCTATAGTAAATACCAATATATATACAACATTATATTTGGGGGCAATACCTCGTCGGGTGGCGCCTGGGAGACACTACAGTACTATAATATCTACGACCTTTGTGGTGAAGTTTAGACCGAGGAGGAGAGTGTGTGTGTGTGTGGTGAGGGGGGGAGAGAGGTAGGTGTGTATTGAGGGAGGGAGAGAAGTGTGTAGTGAGGGAGGCAGAAGAGGGTGTTTTGTGAGATACGTGTGGTTTGAGAAAGATAGAGAGGTATGTGGTGAGTGAGAAAAATTTATGTGTGTTGAGGGCAAGGTGTGTGTGTGAGTGTGTTGTGAGGTGATGAGAGGGAAAGAGATAGAAAGTCATGTAGTAAGGGGAGAGGGGAATGTGATGGAAGGGAGATAAGAGACAGAAAGAGAGAGGGAGAAAGAGGGAGAAGAGTAACACACTTATGCCAGGGATAGTATGTATGCCGGTCAGGTCAGAGAGGGACGGGGGAGGGGTTGACCTGGGGCCGAGAATACCTGTACAGTTCACATTGTTAAACCTGTACCAGTGGCTGTAGGTGCATGGTGGCCAATATATATGGTAATATTGATGCAGGAATACTTTCTCTATATATACGTGTGTGTGTGTGTGTGTGTGTGTGTGTGTGTGTGTGTGTGTGTGCGCGTGCGCGCGTGTGTGTGTGTGTAATTTGGGTCTTAAGCACATAAACACCCTCTCACACAGTGCATATCAACAACAATTTAACAATTTATTCAGTCAGATCACGAAGATCAGTCACCAGGTAGTGTGCTTCACCAGGTGTAGTGTGCTTCACCAGGTGCAGTGTGCCTCACCAGGTGTAGTGTGCTTCACCAGGTGTAGTGTGCTTCACCAGGTGCAGTGTGCTTCACCAGGTGCAGTGTGTCTCACCAGGTGCAGTGTGCTTCACCAGGTGTAGTGTGCTTCACCAGGTGCTATGCTTCACCAGGTGCAGTGTGCTTCACCAGGTGTAGTGTGATTCACAAGGTGCAGTGTGCTTCACCAGGTGTAGTGTGCTTCACCAGGTGCAGTGTGCTTTACCAGGTGCAGTGTGCCTCACCAGGTGCAGTGTGCCTCACCAGGTGTAGTGCCTAGTTTGCCTCACCAAGTGTAGTGTGCCTCACCAAGTGCAGTGTGCTTCACCAGGTGCAGTGTGCTTCCCAAGTGTAGTGTGCCTCACCAGCTGTAATGTGCCTCATCAGGTGTAGTGTGCCTCACCAGGTAGGGTGGCTCACCAGGTAGTGTGGCTTACCAGGTAGTGTGTGCCTCACCAGGTGTGCCTCACCAGGTAGCGTGCCTCACCAGGTAGTGCCTCACCAGGTAGTGTGGCTCACCAGGTAGTGTGCCTCACCAGGTAGCGTGCCTCACCAGGTAGTGTGGCTTACCAGGTAGTGTGTGCCTCACCAGGTAGTGCCTCACCAGGTAGCGTGCCTCACCAGGTCGTGTGTACCTCACCAGGTAGTGTGGCTCACCAGGTAGTGTGGCTCACTAAGTAGTGTAGCTCACCAGATAGTGTGGCTCACCAGGTAGTGGTGTGACTCACATGTAGTCGCTTTCATGTTCGCCAGTTTACATAATAATTATCAGACACAACATTGAAAAGTAATAACAAGTAAAAGAGAAGTTAATTAAGTTACTTTTCAAAAATGTTATTACTGGCAACACTAAAGGGTGGTATCAAGTTGTAATATATATATATATATATATATATATATATATATATATATATATATATATATATATATATATATATATATATATATATATATATATATATATATATATATATATATATGTATATATATATATTCACTTTGCTCAAAACGCTGCCAATTTTTGCGCCGATTAAGGCTCACTAGTGTGTAATCTTTCCCAATATCCATAATGGACGCCACTATATTAAAAGGCACATGTTTTTTTTTATTTGTTTTTTTTTCATTTGAGTACAGAATAACTGTGAGAGATTTAATATACCATCGATTATACACATGCGGTGTTAAACTCTGAATATATATACAGTATACTGTACATATGTGATGGTGGGCTATGAGTGGTCCACACCGACCGTGACGTCATACAGGTAAACAACCCTCACTGCTTGGATCACCGTGAGATTGTGTGTGGGGAGAGTGGGGGAGACAAAGGGTCGGCGAGGGGAAGGGAAGGGAGTATACAAGGTTGAGTACCTCCTCGGAAAGGTTTTGTATTTGTGAGAGTGATTTGAGAAGGCAACGTAAGCACCTCCCTCTATGTACCTCTACTGTATACTAAATCACCTCCCTACGTCAATACACGTAACCACCTCCTCGAGCAGCATATTCATCTTTTCTATCTTCACCAGATCAAGTTCGACACGCCCAACATCTTTGTGCGGGGGCTAAGGACCTCCACCATCCAGACGAGTAACTCTATGCGTGCCCGTCCTGACGTGTACCAGGTGAGTCTCTTACTGTCTCCTTCTCTCGGTATTAAACTAAAGCTTCTGTTTGTCTGGGGAATCGATTAAGTTGCTATTTGGTATTAGTAAGTATCGTTCAGACTTAATAAATCAAGAGTGTGTGAGTTTACTGAGATTATTAAATAAACATCAACACGTTTGCAACTTTCCCCTGATAATTTAGTTCATATTATTTTCATTGTTAAATGTGGACAGATTCATCTTTAATAATAATCTTACATCTCGTAGACTTTAATGATTGGATGGATGTTTGGCGAGGATTTAGTTAATTTATTTATTTATTGACGATTGTTGTTGTTTACTGATAAGCACCAATACTGCCCTAGATGTGTGACGTAGTATAGGTGTGTCAGACATGTACGTCATTAACATGGTGTATGGGTGTACAGGTGTGTGTGTGTAGCAGCGGCCGGCTCTTCCTAGCGGCTCCTGGGGGCGTGTGTGTTGCTGACCAGGACTTCTGCAAGTAGCCCTCCCATATTCCTGAGGGGTCCTAGCAGCTGCCTATAGGGCCCCAGCGTCTTGCTTAGGGTTCCCTTGACACCTGCCAAGAGGGTTCCAGCATATTGCCCAGAGGACTTCCAGCACCTACTTGGGAGACTTTCAACGCCTGCTCAGGGAGGACTCTTAGTGGTGCCTGGGGACCTCCCGCATTAGTGTGGAGATCATAATCAACGATGTCGTTAATGCGGCCAAAACTCTCGTTATTAAGACTTCCAGGGGTGCCTGTGACCTACACGTGTTAACGATATTGACGTTATATAATATCCGGAACTTGTACGTGGTAAAAGGAAGATAGGTAATGTTTATTAAAAAATGAATGAATTTCCCCCCAAAAAGAAAATGAAACAGTGAGAGAAAAAGAAAACGAAAATAGGTGTGTGTTGCGTTGTGTTGGAGTCCCTCGGCTTTCCTGGGGATTATCTTCTAGTGTCAGGTTGGGTCTGAAGATTGTGAGCCCTGACTCGTGTTGGTGAAGCCTCTTTGTTGTGCCACCCTCAGGCTCTCAGGCTCTTGCTGCCGCTGCTGCTGTTTCTGACTTCACCTGCGGCGACGCCTTCTGCTGAGTCGTCGAGTTAGGTGGCAGTGGTGGAGTTGTGGGGTGGAGGCCAGGATGTTTTGAACAACGCTCACCACGAAGAAAAAGAGTCGTTGTTTATGTGGAAAGAAAACACATTTGGTGTTTACGTAAGAAAGGTAAGATAAGGCTAATTGGCTGTTGATGAAAATTTTTATTATTCATAGATGGAAAACTTTTGTAAAAACAGAAAACTGATTGGCTGATAAAAAGATGTAGTTCATAACTAAAGATAGAAAAGTCGAGTTTTAAAAGAGAGATCTTGAAGGCGCTGTCTGGAAAGAGAGAAAGTTCTGGATCCTTATTTCTATGTATAAAATGCGGTATGGCTGAGTGTTTATATAAGATTATTGTAGATATCTAAAGCAAAGTTCTGTATTTTGGCTGAGTGGTGAGTAAATGGTTACTTGAATGTTCGGCATAAACAAGTGTTATATGTTGTTGTGGTGGCTGTGAGAGGCCACTTGAAACCTGGGGGACAGAGGTAGGGTGTTGGCTGAAGAGGATATACCAGTTATTAACGAGAGAAACATCATATTGAAAGAAGAATATGTTCCAAGAGACTGAGAAACATTTATAAGAAAGACGAAATTCAGGAAAAAAGCTCAACATTTTCCCAGAGGAAGAGACACCTCAAAGAGACGTCAAACGTGATGTGTGTTTCTGTCTGCTTGCTGGCGTCTCCCTCACCCTAGTCGAGTGTCAGGGGAGGAACACACACACACACACACACACACACACACACACACACACACACACACACACACACTCACACATCACACACACACACACACACACACACACACACACACACACACACACACACACACACACACACACACACACACACACACACACACACACACACACACACACACACACACACACACACTCACACACACACACACACACACACACACACACGAGGGAAAAGCAAGTGATATGAAGTTACAACATCAAGGAGATAATTATGACAAAGCAAAATAAAACGATGACTAATTCAAGTGAACGAAAAAAAGAAATGGAAATCAATATTAACGGATATTAAACAAGATAACAATAACTTGGGTTTGAAAGTAAAAAAAACACGAGAAGGTCATACATAGAGAAAATGGAAGAGAAGGATAATCACGGAAGAGAAGAGAAGAGAAGAGAAGAGAAACAAAAACAACTGGTATAGAGACAAAAGATAACAGAGTGACGCGTAGGTCTCGCCCCATAAGTGTTGCCCTCTGGCACACTAAGCCCGGGGGAGTCTGAAGGTGTGGGCCAGAGAGGATTACACACCACCTGACTGAATTGGAGCCCCCGGGGTCTATACCTGGCTTTTAAAGTAATTGTTTTTCGATACCTCTTTGTTGTCATGGTTACGTGGCAGTGTAAACAGGTGGAATAATACCTTCAACTTCCACCCAGAAAGATAAAAGTATCGTCGGGGAAGAGAAAGGCAGAGAGTGGTGATAATCGCCTCATATCGACAGAAAAAAAAATGGAACGTTAAAAAATCCCTGGAAGGAGGTAATCATCCAACTGCTTTTGTGTTAATCCTTTTGAAGGTGGAAGAGCATAGAAAGAAGCTCACCTACAGTTTCCTGGATGATTAAATGAATAACTGAGGCGAGGAAGGAGCCTTGTTCTGACAGGTTTATAAGTTATCGTTATTGCCTTAATGTTGAGACGCGAGAGAACCTATGTCCTTGTGTATACTGTAGGTGAAGGTTTTTATAATGTTAGAAAACGAGAATGGCTGTGTCAGTATTGTTCATGTTTGATATAAAAAATAAATAAATAAATGTGGTAATAAGGATTGGAATTCAATAACAAAAATAGTTGTTTGCGACATAATACACACTCGAACACACTATGTAATACCAGTAAGTCGTATAGATTGGTTAAAAAGTATGAAAAAAGTACTTACACATTAAAATAAACGCCCCAAAAGCATAAATAGAAAGGAATAGAAAAAAGAAAGAGAAAATGAGAGATAGGGAGAAAATGGAAGAGTGAGAGAAGGAAGGAAGTTATTAGGAGACAAGATAGAAGGACCTCCGAGTATTCCTCCAGCTTCCTTTCATTGTTAGTCTTTTGTTCTGAGATAAAGAGCGAGATTAATGGGCAGAAGAGGACGACCATCAGGAAGTTTTCTTTAAAGATGACATGAAGAACCTGTGAGGAGACGGGTGCTCGGTATTGATGAGGGAGAGACAGCAGAGATGTGTGTGGGAGATCAGGTGCTACTGTGGATGGTGGAGATGTGTGTGGGAGATCAGGTGCTACTGTGGATGGTGGAGATGTGTGTGGGAGATCAGGTGCTACTGTGGGTGGTGGAGATGTGTGTGGGAGATCAGGTACTACTGTGAATGGTGGAGATGTGTGTGGGAGATCAGGTACTACTGTGGATGGTGGAGATGTGTGTGGGAGATCAGGTGCTACTGTGAATGGTGGAGATGTGTGTGGGAGATCAGGTACTGCTGTGGATGGTGGAGATGTGTGGGAGATCAGGCTACTGTGGATGGAGGAGATGTGTGTGGGAGATCAGGTGCTACTGTGAATGGTGGGATGTGGGAGATCAGGTACTGCTGTGAATGGTGGAGATGTGTGTGGGGATTAGGTACTACTGTGGGTGGTGGAGATGTGTGGGAGATCAGGTGCTACTGTGGATGGTGGAGATGTGTGGGAGATCAGGTGCTACTGTGGATGGTGGAGATGTGTTGGAGATCAGGTACTGCTGTGAATGGTGGAGATGTGTGGGGGATCAGGTACTGTTGTGGTTGGTGGAGATGTGTGGGAGATCAGGTACTGCTGTGGATGGTGGAGATGTGTGGGAGATCAGGTACTACTGTGGATGGAGGAGATGTGTTGGAGGTCTTTCATCCATGAATACGTAAATAAATGCATATACTGACATCCACTTCAATTAGCCTAGTGAAAAATTATGACTGACAGACGATAGCCAACACGTACCTTGCCAGGGGTTGAACTAAACACAAAACAATGAAAATTTGCACCTAATGTCCATGGGTGTATCAGCGTCAGGAGGAACTAAGAAATCCTGAGGCACAGTGAATGAAGCAAGTTTGTTCTGAAGAGGCCTCTCTCTCTCTCTCTCTCTCTCTCTCTCTCTCTCTCTCTCTCTCTCTCTCTCTCTTCTTACCTATGCCAATTTCTATCTTAATTGCATCATTTATTGGTCTTTCTTTTGTCTCCGTTTTCTGTAACAATTTCTTACACCATTACTCGGTTTACCGCTCCTCCTCTGTACATTGTTCCACTGTTTATTGGTGTTTTGTTCAGTCTCCTTTTTCTCCTACATAACTTTCTCTCGTCCTCCCTTCAAACAAATTCTTGCATGATTACCCCGTTTATTGGTGTTTTCCTCCCCCTCACCGTCATCACAGAGGCTTCCCGGAAAGAGAAGAAGAATGATGGCCGGACTTGCCAGTTGCCAAGACCTGATAATTGGGGGATTGACCCGAGGACTCACGGGTATATCCGCGGCTTTATACGCCTCAGCCATTCCCAGGAATACCGACTCGCGGGTTCCCAGATTCCTATTCCCGTGAACCTTTTAAGTGTTCTTGACTCCGATGTTCCTTTGTTGTTTTAAGGAGTCGGTTTAGGTAGACGTTTTAAAGTGTCCGTTTTAAGGGGGATTCAAAGTTGGCATGATCCTTAATTCCGGGGTGCATAAAAACACTGTAGACGTCGATACGCACACAAACATACTTATACAAAGAGACTTACACATTCACGGCAATGCGCGCATGCGCGCAAAAACACTCGCACACTCACACAAATACAAACACACACACACACACACACACACACACGCGCGCGCGCGCGCGAGCTAATGATGTGAGATCTATTACAGAAGTCTTATGCTGACGTTTTGTGAAATTTAATGACTAATATATGCTAATGGTTGATACAGTTAAAAACTGAAGTTTTCATGCACTGTATAATATACAGTGCATGATTTCTTATACTATAATAAATTAGATTACAATGATTAATTATTTAAAATTATATTACTGTACCTCTATGATTCTATGGGAACTTCCACCACCTTTATGGTGAAGTTAATAATAATAATAATAATAATAATAATAATAATAATAATAATAATAATAATAATAATAATAAAATGTCAATAGTTTAACGCAAAAATACAAAATAATGAAAATTTAGAGCTGTGTGCATGTGTGTGTGTGTGTGTGTGTGTGTGTGTGTGTGTGTGTGTGTGTGTGAGACCATCAAGGGGGAAGGAGTCGATAAGTAATTCAATAGTAAATATCTGCCCAAGAAGGCCGGAGGCAGCGGGGCGAGGCTCTTCACCCTACCTATTTTCTTGACCTTTTTACATATTCAAGTTTTTCTTATTATTTTTCTTTGTTTTCTTTCAATACTTTACTCACTTATTTCATTTTTATTTTTCGTGTCAACATTTGTCTGATTTATTCATATTATAAAATTTAAGAATTATTATTATTATTATTATTATTATTATTATTATTATTATTATTATTATTGTTATTATTATTATTATTATTGCTGTTGTAAGAAGAACATCAGGAATAATTGTCAATAAACACTGGAAAAGAAAACGATAAGCGCCTGATAAAACTATTACCTCACCTCACGTCATCAAAGGCATTGTACTGTATTCACATTTCATTTTCCTGATAAATTTTGTTCTAGTATTTTATTTTCAGATTAAATTTTTAGTTTTTTTTTGAAGGGGGGGAGTGAAGGGTTTTTATTCCAATTTAGGGTTTTTTAATCAAGTTTTCATATTTGTCATTACAGTTTTAGATTTTTTTTTTCGTATGACAGTAAAGGTGTTCATTATAATTTCATTTTTTTTATTATTAATTCAATTTTAGAATTATTCATTATAATTTGGGGATCTTAGGATTTGTATTGTCACTGTGGTTATGTAGAAGAAAACTGGAGTGATATTAGTTGTGTCTCGCCCGGGGAACACAGTGATACGCAACACAAATCTTAAACACTAATTCACACTAAACGGTAACTCACACTACCACCCTAAATGGTAACTCACATTATCACTCTATAACGGTAACTCACATTATCACCCTAGTGACCTAGTCGGTAACTCAAATTATCACCTTAGACGGTAACCTCACATTATCACCCTAGACGGTTACTCACACTATCACCCTAAACGGTAACTCACACTATCACCCTAGACGGTAACTCACATTATCACCCTAGACGGTTACTCACACTTTCACCCTAAACTGTAGCTCACATTATCACCCTAGACGGTAACTCACACTATCACCCTAGACGGTAACTCATACAATCACCCTAGACGGTAACTCACATTAACACCCTAGACGGTAACTCACACTATCACCCTAGACGGTAACTCACAGTATCACTCTAAATCCCGAATGGTAACTCACACTATCACCCTAGACGGTAACTCACACTATCACCCTAGACCAGGGGTCACCAAACTTTTTTCACAGTGGGCCGGATAACTGAAAGAATGACGAGCGCGGGCCGCATAATCATTCTGTTCAATACATGCAAGCCAGAACGAAAGCTCTGGTAACGTCAGAGCGTAGGCGGAGCTACCACGAGCCGGGGAAGGACTTGGGATCCGGCCCGCGGGCCGTAGTTTGGCGACCCCTGCCCTAGACGGTAGCTCACAGTATCACTAATGCCAAGTCGGTAAC